TTTTTTATCAGCTGCTTGTAGCAAATCATATAATTTTTGAGACTCGGGATTAGGATCTTCGTCCATTGAAGGCTCACAAGGATGAGATGACTCAGGTTCAATATTGTTGAAAGATTGCCAACTTGATCCCTGGAGAAAGTTGGGACCATAAGCATCTAAAACTATTTGCCGGTATGGGTTATCATATCCTAATTCAGGTTGAGCACTACCATGAATATCTTGACCCGAAGAAATCTCATTGATCACTTCTTTTTCCCCTTGATGCTTCCAAAGAAAATAGTTATCAACAAATCCATACTTATAAAGGTGATGTTTAACAATTTCAACTTCCATGTATCTAAAGTTGTGACACTTTTTACATGGACATCTAACTTTGTCACCACTCATGCGATTCATTTGAGAACATGCATATTGGATAAATTTATCCACGCCATCTATGAAACTAGAGTTATAGCCCCTCGACCATCCAACCTCTCATACATCCAACTACGCTCTAGATTATTCATGTTCCTATTCATGTTTAAATAAACGAAATAGTTAGTAACAAGCACAAGTTGATTGAGGACTACTTCCAATAACAAGCACATTTTTTAGAACATGCATACTAGAAAGTCACTGATTCTCATTTATATTCAAAATTTGGTCAAAACATACAGATTGGCATAACAAAATCAGTTGCTGAAATTGCTCACTAGGAAAGCAGGAAAAAAAAGAATATTAGACAGTCTCAGAAACATCCCCACCAAAAATTAGCTCTCCTTGGGATTTATAAAAAGTAATTCGAGAATCTAAGAAATGAAGAGAAGCACATCAAGGATAGGTATGAACACAATTAAATCTTCAATATGATGAACTCACCAACCTCATGGCGGAATGAAATTTCAGTATTCACACTGAAGAACAAACACAATATAAGCTCGAGAGAGAGAGACAACAATGGGTAGAATCAATGACTCACGCATCAGCCAAAGGAAAATATCAGCTCAGCTAGCAAATATCAGACATTGGAATGACTGCAATGACTGCAGATACATACAGAACCCTTGGTATCATCTACCAAATGTTTTGTTCACTATATTTAGATTTTTCAGAGTGTATTATTTTGATCACAATTTGTTTCCTTTTACTATTATGCTGGCCACTTCTGGGCCAGTACTTTTGATATTTTTATTATATCTTGTTGAACTTATCTTCATGATATAAAATGGCCTTTTTAGGCCACAAAAAAATATTTTTAAAAAAACAAATGACAACAATCTTCTTCCTAATTACAATCAGTAAAGTAAATACCTTGAGAGTATATCTTTAGCTAAATCAAGGGAAAAAGTAAAGAGCAAGGCTTACTTCGAGTGAATGACAACCAAATACTAAGTATAATGTTATAGCACTTAATATGAATCAGTTGTTGTCTTGAGTTGCATATTCAAAGTGCTATTCTACATGATCCTCTCTTCTTGTTCAATTGGTTAATTATATAAATATGTCTAATTTTTTTCAAAATCACAGTCATGCTTACTTAAAATTGCTTCTTTGTTTTCATGTCATATGCTTGTATCTTATCCGCCCAAATGCAAGAGACTGTTTTCATAGATTCTCAGCTAAACAACATCAGAAAACCAATTACAAAATAAAAAAGCAGTCAGATATCATACAAGTGAAAAGGTCCTTAAATCGTAAAACCAAAATCACCGCAGAAGTAGCTTCTAAGCTAGATTCAATATTACAGTAACATTATTTATCAGAAAAATGAACTAAACACAATTCTTGTCAAGTTCCTAACTCTATTGATAGAACTCAT